GTATACCCAGAAGTGGAGTTGCTGGATCATATGGTCATTCTGTGTTTTAATTTTTCATAGTGGTTGGCCAGTTTACATTTCCACCAACAATAGTTAAGGGTTCCCTTTTTACCACATCCTTGCCAACACCTGCTGCCTCTTGTCCTCTTGATGATATCTCACTGTGGTTTTGATTTGCATTTCCCTGATTAGTGATGTTGAGCATTGTTCATGTGCCTATTGGCCATTTTGATGTCTTCTTTAGAAAAAATGTCTATTTAGTTCTGCCCATTTTAATTGGATTAGTTCTTTTTTGTTATTAAGTTGATTGAAGTCTTTATATTTTGGATATTACCCCTTACTTGGTATATGGTTAGTAAAATTTTTCTCCCATTCTGTAAATTGTCTTTTCATTTTATTAACTGTTTATTTTGCTCTGTAAAAGCTTTTGAGTTTTATGTAGTCCCATTTGATGATTTTTCTTTTTTGTGTGAGTGTACTTTTTGTATTATGTTCAAAATGTATGCCAAGATCAATATTGATGAGCTTCTTCTCTAAGTTTTCTCCTAGGAGTTGTATGGTATTAGGTCTTATGTTTTAAACCTTTGATCCACTTGGAGTTAATTTTTGTGTGTGGTATGAGATGGGGTTCAATTTCACTGTCCTGTATGTGTTTCTAAGTGCCTCCTGCACACCCCCATTGGGGATGCACCCGCAACCAAGGTACATGCCCTTGACTGGAATCAAACCCGGGATCCTTCAGTCCACAGGCCCACGCTCTAGCCACTGAGCCAAAATGGTTAGGGCTAAATTTTTTTAAAAAATAAAAATCTAATAAGATGAATTAGACTTCACATACCAGTTCAACAATAGCATGAATTCCTAGATCTGGCACTCTCATACAGCACAACAAAAATGGATATACAGAGAAATCCTAGAGAAGGGTGTACTTTGGCACCACATGTTACTCAGTCAACATATGGAGCGCAAAACTCAAAACGCTGTAACAGAAGATCAATAAATCAGTAATATGGTAAACTCACCGATTATGAGAAATGAAGGACATGTGTAATGCTAGTTTTAACTATGGTGGTCTGTGTATCACATTTCAAGCAGATGTTGCGAAAAACAGCCAGAAATACACATAACAGACACCCCCTCAAAAAAGAAAGCCCAATAAATCACTGGTTTTCTTCAAGAAAGAGCAACCCATCTTAATTATTAAAAGAGTAACATGAAATGTAATAGTACTAATAAATGTTGCAGATTTTACTGTAAATGAATTGATAAAATAATGAGTTATGACTGAGAACAGATAAGAGTGTCCATGTAGCTAAATGAAGCTGGTATTCCATGTTTAATGTTCTGTATATAACCTTTAGCATTACAACCCAGTGACTTGAATACAGTCAGAAAATACTGCCAAAATTTCAAGTCCTAGCAGACAGCGTTAAAGCAATTCTTGGCGCTGAATCAGAAAAGGCTTCTGTTGGAGTTAATCCAAAGAAACTAACTGGAGTATGATTCGCAAAGCCAGGTGACTTGAACTTGGCCTGAAAATTTCAAGTTCCAGGAAAGAAGTTGGTTATTAAATTGGTTGTTTCAAACTTCTGAAAGTTTATTATACTATCATTTAATTGCAAAATAATTCTCCAATTAACTTTAAAATGTAATAAATTATCCTTACTATAAAGCAAAATTAAAATTTAACATTAACAAGAATAATAAAATCTGTCCTCTATTACTTATAATTGTTAACAGCTAACCTTTGTAAACTTTTACTACAGGTCGAGCACTGTTCTAAGCACTTTATGTTTATTCTCAAATCCTATTAAATTGATACTATAATTATATTAGACTGGTGAGGAAACTGAGACACTGAACAATTAAATAATTTAGCCAATATCACACATTTGGCAAATAGCAAGTGTTGCAACTACTGAACCATATGCCACTCTCTTCCTATTTATAAAGGGGCAAAAGGAGGTAGGTGAGGAGCTGAAATTGGCATTTGAGTGTATAAACTACAATTCTCTAGTTTTAGGAAAGCTTCAAACTAAGTTCATGTGCAGCCTGAATTTAAAAGTGTGTTAACATGACTGATGCATGTTATACACTAAATAAATATATTTGTTGAAAGTACTGTGTCAAAGGAAAAATAAAAGGTAAGGCCCTCTTCTGTATTTGAAACATAGTGGACAAACAAGGTCATCCAATAATTTTGTTTTTAGTGAATAACACTGATATTCATTTTAAATAAAGACCTCTAAACAAGGTAATTATATGCTGTATACTTCCATCATTACCTAAACTGAATAAGATGGAAATACAAATATTTTACAGTGTATTTTCATTTCCAATTTTAAAAGGAATCCTGTCCAAAATAATTTGTGAAAATATGCTGCAAGCTATATAAAACATAAAATAAGTGTATGTATAATAGTATTCAATATCAACTTTACATAATAAATTTAAAGTGACAACTAAATTAGACTGTCCAATGACTGGAATACCACTTCAAAAGAGCAATATTTAATCTGAAATTTTCCCCTACAGGGTAATTAATGAGGAAAGTTTTGGGGTTGCTTCCTTCGATTTCTGGGATTTTTATGAATGAATCTCAGAGCTCATTAGTTATATGAATACTCTGCAAAAGGTTATTCATAATATGACTATTTATTTTGTTAACATTTCTTCTAGCCCCAGAAGTGAAATATTCTGAATTCCAAATATCTCTCTCAAATTACCTTATTAGTTAAATTGGCTGAGTTTCCAACTTCAATGTACTATTTTAAGGACAATTTTTTTCATAAGTTAGAGATAACCTGTTATTATCTCTTTATAATCTAACTAATGAACATTTTTTATTGTCTAAAGTTTTACATATCTCTTCTTTTTCCCCAATTGACCCCCACCCCAGCCATTCCCACCTGGGCAAGCCCCCACTGCCCCAGTGTCTGTGTCCATTGGTTATGCTAATATGCATGCATACAAGTCCTTTGGTCACTCTCTAATCCCCCCCCATCCCCTACCATTTGTCTCTGGATGTATTCTTGTTAATGAACATTTTTAAGTCCACAACTTTCTATGGACAAAAAGACCAAATCTATAAAAGATTCCAAAATGCAAGAAACTTAACTGCAGAACACATGCTTAAATCTGCTCTAACAAAAATCACTAACCACAAGAGAGTCAAAAGTTCATTTCATCTCATCTTCTGAAATGCTTGAAAATATATCCATGTTGAAATGATAAATGTTTAAAATCTCAAATGTTAATAAGGGATGAGATGTAAAGAATACTGCTAAATAGTTTAATTACTTAAATATAGTGAAGAGATATTATATATATGCAGTAAAAAAAAAAAAAACACCCACCTTCCTTTGGGTGGCTTTTCTATCTTTTTATTACTGTGCAACTTGTAATAGCACTTTGATATAATTAAGACAATTAGATTTTTATCCACGACTTCAGTGGACACTTTCTTTGCTTCTCTGTTGAAATGCTTTGTTTTCTCAGAAAATCCACTCTATTTAAAAAGACAATCTAACTCTAAGACTGAGCCTGCTGTGTCTTATCACACTGCCTCAAAGGTTACTAGAATATACCATGAGCACCTTCCAATCAAGCTTGTGCCTGTGCAAGGAGACTTCCCACTTCTCCAGTCAAAATAAAGTGCAAAAAAATTGTCTAATTCTCAAACAGTGAGTAAATTACCAAAATAAACAAATACAATTAAAACTGGTTTGTTTCTATCATGGACGGCCAATGGTACTCTCCCTAATAGTACAGGCACATTTCGAAGCTTCTTGTGTCTTGCCAAAGAAACACCGTTTGCCAAATGATGTTCCTGCTGCCATCCCAGCTGGCTTTTCATTTTCCCAAACAGCTCTCAGTTGTGGCCCTCCTCGCTGTCTAAACACCACTGAGAACTGAGCCTGCTCCGCCTCCCCACCTCCCAAGCCCCAGTGATATTCCGTGGAGTTCTTGAACTTGATCCACAAAAACCCCTCCTGAAGGGCACTGCACAAAGCATCATGCCAAATGCTTTCCAAATCCTCTCCCTCATTCCCTCATTTCAGAATATCCCACGATTTATTCACCCTTGGAAAGTCGACTCAAACTCCCCACCCCCTTTGCATTTGAGATGTCCAGAAGGAGGGCTCTCTCTCTCTCTCTCTCTCTCTCTCTCTCTCTCTCTCTCTCTCTCTCTCTCTCTCTCTCTCTCTCTCTCTCTCTCTCTCTCTCTCTCTCTCTCTCTCTCTCTCTCTCTCTCTCTCTCTCTCTCTCACACACACACACACACACACACACAGTCCCTTCCTAATCTCCAGCCCTGACAACAGCACTCAGACATGCACACTCTTTGGTTCCCTCCAGCTTCCGCCGTCCAAAACACCCAGCAATTAGGGATGACAGGTGGCGCGGGAAAAAATCTGAGGTTTCTCTCGGTCGATGGAGACCTCTTTCCCACCAGCCGCTCACGCCCCCGCCCCCTGAGGGGCTCTGGAGGCACAGCCATCACTTCTCAGGTTGCCTCCTTCTGAAACCACCCCTCCTGGGGCGCTCGTGCGCCTAGACCCGTACCAACCGGAGGTGATCCCGGCGGTGCGCGGCGGCGCCTCCCTGCTACCCTGCCCTCGGAGAGGAAACACTGAGACGCACCTATATTGATCCCCAGGCGTCCCGCAGGCGCCGAGAGAAAAAGGAGAACCCCTGTGCCCAGCCAGTTCTCCCAGGCCCCCTCCCTGCCCTCCGCCGCAGAAGGGAGCCCAGGCCTGCCAGGTGCAGGGTGGAGGAGAGGGCAAAATCAGTTAAGTTCAGACAGAGGACTGCGCAGGAACTACGCGCTCCTAAGGGACCAAGTGGAGATCGCTAAAGGAGAAGGCGTACAGCCAGTGGCGAGGAGCGCAGGGAGAGCAGGGAGAGCCCCCATCGCTCATTAATGAACCAGCGCCCGCTGAGACACCCTGTCCGTCCGGGTTGGGGGAAAACAGGACATGCGAACACTGCGAACTTACGGAAGAAGATGTACTCGGTGTAGCTGCTCCAGATCTTGTCGTCGCGGTACTGGTTGACGAAGGCGGCGGTGCCCGAAGAGTTGCACGCCACCATGTGGAAGCCGGCCTCGGACAGACGATCGAACGCCTGCTCCAAGTAGGTGAACTTGAGGTAGAAGCGGGACGTGTACTTCTCGGGAGGGCGGTCGGGGTCGCGGCTCTCGTTGAGCGTGTCTCCAAAGACCTCCTTGGCCAGCGCGATGCGCCCGCACACCATGATGCGCGCCACCCGCCGGAACTTGGCGTCCGCCTGGTTGTCGCGCACGG